CCATGTCTGTTTTTCACTGTTAACATAATGCTGACAAAGCAGTTTTTCATCCCTGTAATATGTTCAAAAGCTTTTCTAGTTTCTATATAGGGAAAAATGTAGTCCACTGGGAATATTTCTTGATATAAATCTTTCAGATCTGATTTAATTAGGGCCAGCTCTGATACATGATCATAAAAGATGTGGAAAAACTGATATAAGTCATATTTAATGGAACAAGGAGAGGAGCGCAGTGTTACAGCACAAACTGTGAACGCATGTCAGCAGGGTTAAAAGAAAAGACGTTCCACAAGAAAAATATATCTGCAGAAATATGAACTAAAGATCAATTAATTGGAGGACAGTACTCTGATGGGGAAATTTAATTAATATGGACTTAATGTTCCATTTATTAAAAAAAGAAGTCAGGATGTAAGTTCTGCTTTGCTGCTGATTTATTGGGTAAGGTAATAGACTGACTGATTGAACTTGTCACAGGACAGAGATAAAATACTGCTGAAGACCGTTCTTGGACCTGAGCAATTTCACAGCCTCGAAAGAAGGCAAAAGGTCGTTCTGTACTTACAAAAATGGCAGAGAAATATCTTATCATGGAAAAAAAAATGCTGAATATCCTTGCTTGACTACATAGAATGAAGAATCCAATTCAAAAATATAGTATGGTCTTTTCAGGGTCAGGTGTTTAATTTTTAAAAGAGGTATACTTTGAGTGGAATAATAAATATTGAATATGGTGATTTTTCTTTTAGAAAATGTATTTTTGATGTGGCTCAAAATATTAATGTCTCTCCACATGTGATACAACATAAAACAAAGAACTGTGCAAATAAAAAACAGGCTATGCAATAATGTGGAATGAGACAATGAATAAGGATTGGATTAATAAATCATTCAAGAGTAGCAAAAGGTTAGAAACCTAAAATATGTATTTGCAATTTGTCAGTATTTATAAAGTAATACTGCTCTCTTTCAGTATCAAAAATCAAAATCCATAGGTCTAATTGATGATTTTTAAAAAGATGTCTCACCACCATGCTGTAACGCAACAGGAACTTTGTCAACTTTGTTTTTGAATATCATAGTTATGATATTTGCTAAAAATGTAAAGTTAATACTAGATATTTCTATATGTGACAAGATGCATTACCATCTTCCATACTCCTACTACCATAAAATCCTTTTTAAGGCATAGTAATGACTAACACATTACTGACTTTTAAAAACTAATTAGTTACAGTGCTAGTTACTGCCAGTGTTGGGACGTTATGAACTTCAGCATTAGCACAGAGGAGAGATGAAGGCGCAGAGCCACTGATTCAATGAGAGTGTACCTAGAGAAAAAAACAAAACACTGAAGGATAAATGTTCCTGTAATTTGTTCATTATAGGTGGAGAAAAAAGACTATATACGTCAGTTAGAAGCTGTAAATTACAGAAGCTCCACATATTTCAAACCTGAGTGCTGCGTTCTTTAATCACACATGTTCATGACTTTCTCATGGCTATAACGTATTTTTAATAACTATAACCAGTTATTTTTTTTAAGTAAAGTTCCAAACACCGGTTACTGGAAAAGAAATCTAGATACTGTACTGCATTACTTAATAACGCTTTAGTACCAACACTGGTTGCAGGTGATCTGCAAAAACTGCTGCACAAATGTAGAGACGTGCAAGCTGGCTTGTTTTCAACCCATCTATTGAACAGATTGCTTGTGCTACTGGCAGCATGAGAGTGGCTGTAAAATAAGCCAGGTAGCAGAGGGTTATATTGATAACAGACCTCCGCCAAGCAGCAAATGTTGCCCCATATTGTGCCTTACACCTATAGTAAAAAATTACACATGATCTGGATAATTTTTATGAATTGTTCCTTAGCATGACGCACACCTTTGGTAAAGATTTCTTTGAAATGCTTTATTAAGTAAGGAAAAGTCTGTGCCTGCAATGTCTGTTTTGCTCTCTTTCTCTTTATTTTCACTCAGAAAATCAAAACTTCCAGTAGGGCATGACTCCCTTTTCCTGTGTTTTGCTATGCTTTGTTGTCATTATAATGCTTTTTGAGTCCAATGCTTAAGCTGTCAAAAGTCATTGCTTCCTCCCTCTGATTTAGGTGAGAATTGCTTGTTCCACTAAATAATATTAAAGGATCCTTTAAAAAATTCCTGCATCGATATCATGTTCCAGATCATCTTCAAAATTTTTTAGATTGTGTCTTGGATTATGGTGCACCTTTGGTAAGAATATTATTAAAGATTAATTGTGTAATGTAAAAAAACATTTTGTGGAAATATTAAAGCAACATAGTAAGTAAGTAAGTAAGTAAGTAAACTTTATTTGTATAGCACTTTTCACAGACAAAGTCACAAAGTGCTTCACATGATTACATAAAAACAACACAAGTAAAAACAGATAAAATGCAATAAAAGCTATAATAAATAAGGGAATAAAACAACAGGCTATGTGCTTTGGAAGGCTAGTGAAAACAGGTGTGTTTTAAGCTGCTTTTTAAAGATGTCCACCGAGTCCAGAGAGCGCAGGGACA